GCTGAGTCCCGACCTCTCCCCCATCGAGCATGTCTGGGACATGCTTGGACAGAGGTTACGTCAACGTCAACAACGTCCTGCCAATGTCCAAGTACTTGGTGCTGCGTTGCAACAGGAATGGGACAATCTGGACCAAAATGACCTTAGACGTCTCATTAGGAGTATGCCACGTCGGATCAATGCTTGTTTGGCAAACAGAGGAGGATTTACCCGTTACTGACTTGGTTGTGATGCTGTGGTAACTTTGCTGTTTGACCCCGGGTATCATTTTACCCTTATAATGGTCAGTCTGTGCCTTACTTAGTCTAACAATCATTTGGAATAAATCGATGAATGTGAACTTCATTTCATTTTGTCATTTGTTTCTTCGTCAGTTTCATTAGGTGACTTTAATAACACTTAAAAATCAAATATCCCCTACTTTTTTTGAATAGTATATATCTACATAGTTTATCATGTCATTCGAGGCATTTTAATATGTAATAGTTTTATATCCACCACTATCGGTAATTGTATCTGTATCGGCCGATATATTTCGCAGTCAATATCTGATATCGGTAAAAGCGATGGAGCCAATTGCCATATCGGACCGTCCCTAATCTGAAGTCAATCGGATGATAACTTTGGTCTCTAGACTCTAAAGTATCCACAAGATTTTTCAAAGTGATCAAGGGCCATAACTCTGGTAGTTATTATCGGAAATCATTGAAAATCACTGGGCTTCTTGGTCTCATATTTGTGACGCTATATTCTTATCTGGAGAGCATGCGCAATAAATGCCATTGGTGTAGACTGGAAAAAACAGACGCTAAAGATTGCCATTCACATGATGAGACTTCTGGCGTATTTTGCCGAACATAACTAATTAGAAATTACAGTAAAAACAGAAACGATTGAATGTAAATCAGTTTATATACATTCATATTACATTATTATATTATTATAGGAACCTGGCAAACCCTCTCCTGCAAAAATTCCTGGATCCACCCCTGAATATCATCTAAAGTCTTCGACATTGTAAACACAAATTATTTGTCAATTTAAATCAACATTAATGCTGTGATCTTACCGGGAAAAGATGGGCTTCTGATATCCAATATTTAAAGATAGGTTCCCAGAAAAGTATTTATCGGGTGGTTATTTCCAATAAAAGTATGGCAATTTTGGTATATATGGAAAGTAGAGATATCCAATCTTACTAGAAAAATACTAGATTCCCCGAAAAACACTCATGGAGCGTATACAGGACAAAAATGTAAGGGTTCCCCTAATGAACAGCCTGACGATTAGGAATTTCTGCACGCGTGATGTCAAAGGTCACACGCGAACATTGAGCGCTTGATGTACAAGTTGATAAACTTTATGAAGAGTTGGTTGTACAACACTTTCTGAGATAAAAATGACGGAAAAAGACGCAGGTAGTGGATAATCCGAGAATTTAATTAGGATTCGATATTTGTAATAAATAGTAAGCGATTAAAGACAACATCGTCTTATGTATACAATGAATTCTCCTCTGACTACCAAGAGAGGCAAGTCACGTGGCGTAAACATGAACTGGTTTGATCAAATTTTTATAGCAGGGTATTCCTTTGCAGTTACAATGTTTGATAAGGATCTGAAGCAAAATTATGACAAATTAATTAGTTTGAATATTTTTTAGTCCATATATACCATTAAATCACCCAGTTTGTCCCGGGAATGTATCTTTAAGACAAAATAAACATTTTACTATTGGTACACGAATCGTGTACCATAATGCGTTTCAGCGCCATTTGAATCAAGGGACTCGAAGAACGTGACTACACTTATTCCACAAGTCATGTCAAACGGTGACCTCATATTCTTATCTGGAGAGCATACACAATAAATACTATCGGTGTAGACTGGAATAACTAGAAGCTAGAGATTGCCATTCGATTAAGAATTCTGGCGTATTTTGCCGAATTTATAAATGATTTATATACATTCATATTACATTATTATATGCGTTGCGACCCATTTTTGTCAATTTCTAGGTCCCAAATATTAGCGATTTAACTCTTTTAAAGTAGCTTAGTCTCTAACTCAATATCATCGAAAGTCTTCGACATTGAAAAAACACATATTATTTGTAAATTTAAATCAACATTAATGCTGTGATCTTACCGGAAAAAAGATGGGCATCTGATATCCAATATTTAAGACAAAATAAACATTTTACTATTGGTACATGAATCGTGTACCATAATGCGTTTCAGCGCCATTTGAATCAAGGGACTCAAAGAAAGTGACTACACTTATTCCACAAGTCATGTCAAACGGTGACCTCATATTCTTATCTGGAGAGCATACACAATAAATACTATCGGTGTAGACTGGAATAACTAGACGCTAGAGATTAAAGATACATTATGGGAGATTTTAATAGAGAGTTGGCCATTCTTGCTATAACAGTTCATAAATAGATGATAAAAGAAGAATATATTGAAAATTTCAGTCAAATTACTTTATTCTGACCAAAGTTACCACCATTGTAATTTTTGACTAGAAATAGGAGTCAAATCCCTCTTCACCGTCTACGAGAATGCAGGCCGTTTGATTGACAGGAGTTAACTCCACCTACATAATCTTGATTATCAAGTAACGTTTTCAATTCATATCACATTTATTTTTACTACAAATTAAATATAGGACTTTTATTATATAGATAAGAAGCGAAAGTTTTAAAGGAATGGACCAAATCAATGAGGCATAATTATAGCCGACTTCTTCAATCTTGTTAGCCTGCGTGTACTCCCGAAGCAGACAAATTGAAATAGGAAACATTGATCCAATAGGGCTGCAATTCAACTGGGGTGATGTTAGCTGCGATGTTTATCAATTTCCATAATTTTTCTGTAAACGCAAGTGACAACAGAGCGTATAATACCGACATACAAACTCTCATTTTTACCACAAATTGACCGACATATTATTATGCGGCCTCGCTCAACAGCGGTCTCACTTCGTACACTCTATCATTCAGCCTCGATCTAAAATTTCCCCGAGTATGACGTCAACATAACGGTTAATCTCAGCTTACGACGCCATTTAAAAATTTAATCAATCAATGAAATCCTGTTTAAATCCAAGCAAATCCAAGCCATCCGTGGGTCTACAGAGTTGATTTTGTGCTTGTGTAAATAAAGATCTAATTTATAATTTCTATGACATCTGAAGCCTAAATAAAGACTTGCAATAATCAGATTTAGCTCTTGCATAATGTATGTTTAAGAATTCTGGCGTATTTCGCCGAATTTATAAATGATTTGAAATTAGAGTAAAAACGGAAATGATTGAATGTAAATTAGTTTATATACATTCATATTACATTATTATATGCGCTGCGACCCATTTGTGTCAATTTCTAGGTCCCAAATATTAGCGATTTTGCTCCTTTAAACACTGTATAAATTTCAAGTCAATCGGATATTAACTTTAGCCTCTAGAGCATCCACAAGATTTTTCAAAGCGATCAAGGGCTATAACTCTGGTAGTTGTTATCAGAAATCATTGAAAATCACTGGGCTTCTTCGTCTCACAATCGAATAATAACTTTTGGACGACAGACGGACGGGAGGACTGGACAGGGGCGACAGCAATATACATCCACATTTCCATGGGGGATTATAAAAATAAAAAAATATTATATTCTTTTGAAAAGAGACTCCCACAAAATTGCCTATTTCTCGCAGATGGCAAAGGGCGAATTTTCTTTCACTAAATATTTCTTACCAAATGTACCCGATTTGGAGATCCCCGTTTACCCTTTACGCGAAATGCAAGTGTCCCATTACGCAGACGCACTCTGTAATGTTTATGTTTTGAGACAGAATCAATTGTAGCAATATAGTCGTGGCGGCATTGTTTTTAAATTTATAGACAAAAAATAGAGAAATAAGATGACTTTATATTTCATTAATATATATATTGGGCAAATTAATAGTTTCACACATATTCACATATTATATTTCTACCTATCTCTCTATATTATATATAGTGTACACTTAAATCAACTTAGGGTATAAATGACATATTGTTATATAAAAAAGAGTTATTTAGTCAAAACATGTGTCTATAAAATACCATTAGATGTCACGTGCATGGAAATTTACCATTGCATCATTTGGCTTAATTTAACCAATCATATCGTTAATTGCACAGGTTCAGGGCCATGATCACACTTGATTGTGCATGATATCCATAAGTCTTATAAAAGAAATCATAGTAAACTTTTTAAGTCAGACTTCCATTAGATTCCAGAGAGGTTCCATCTGAGTTCCTAAACAACCGTGAGGCTGGCTAGGGTGGAGAAATGGTTTAAGCTAGTATTGTAATCTGTGCTATGCTTGTATACATGTATTCGGCTATGCTATATAAAATGTAAAAACAAACTGTTGCATTGTTATTCCTGGTAAGACAAACGTCTTTCGAAAACTGTAAGAAGTAAATACACAACGTGAAGCAGAAGTAAAGACAAATTCTAGACGATCACAAGGCTACAGAAATATGTAGTAAGAAAAGATGCATGGGTCGTACGTAGGATGTGGCGACTGGTTTTAGTACGCAGGGCTCACACTGTCGGTCGCCAAAGTCGCAATTTGCGATAAAAATATGAAAGTGGTGATTAAAATTTGATTTTGGCGATAATGTTTGGCGGTATTGGCGATTCTTTTTGAGAATTGGCGGAAAAAAACCTTAAAATTCTAATCGTATTTATCCTGGATTAACCATTATTGAGTGTCAATCACATGGCGGGATACTATAAATTAATCAACTGGCTGATAATCCGGATCGCGTCAATGAATAATACTAATCAGTTGTCTTGGATTAATGATTAGTTGATTGATAATTACAAATGAGATATATAAAGCCTATCTCAAGTCATTATTTACACCTACTGTCTGAGTCTTGGTAAATTTTAAACGGATTTCTTCGATTATGAACAAACTACTTAACTTTGGTTATTATAAACTTACCTGTGTGTTTGTAATGAACTCCCATTCGATAAATCCATTGCACAACTAATTATCACAACGATGAAAACAAGTTCTCTCTTGAAAAATTGAAATATCACTTTTCCCAGAGAAAAATACCAATATGGAAGATGGTTACGTCACTCTGCGGAAGATATCATTTCGTATTAAGGGTGACAGCATTATAGGAAATTCAAGTACAATTATGACAAGAATCCATGACCACTCGGACCAAAGACCACTCGGTTGAAGACCAGTCAGACCAACTGATAGACCACTCAGCCCAAACAAATAGACTACTCGGACCATACAAAAAGACTATTCGGACCCAACAGAAAGACGACTCGGACCAATAATAAAGTGTTGTTTTAATAAATTGATAATTGCGTTTGTTTTAATATGATTACTCGAACCAATAATAAAGTGTTATTTTAATAAATTGATAATTGTGTTTATTTTAATATGAATACTCGAACCAATAATAAAGTGTTATTTGAATAAATTGCTAATTGTGTGTGTTTTAATATGACTACTCGAACTAATAATAACGTGTTGTTTGAATAAATTGATAATTGTATTCCAAATCGCAAAATATCGAGAACCACACTTGTAGTCACGTTTAAAAAGGGGCATATAAACGTCCGGTCTTCGTATTATTATGTGCTGTTTATATTAACGCATCAAGGGCGGATAACTTGAAAACGTGTCTCCCCCCCCCCCCCATATATAGTAACCCAGGGGTTAGTGGGGTAGAACGGAATGAAACCACTGGGGATACCGCGAATGTGGAAAAAGTAAAATTAGGCTATCAGATAAGAACAGTATACCCGTATATGTAGAAACTGTCAAAAGTCTGCACATACCGAGTCTCATTGCAAGAGTAAAGAAAAATTAGATTGATATTTTTTTTTGGCACCATTATTAATTAATTTTAAAACTAATCGTTGATTTATTTTCCGTACACAAAATTGAACTAAACAACTCTAAATATAAGAATTCCGTATAAGAATTATTTGCTTCTTTGTATTGTGATTTAATAATAAATAAAAAGCATATTGTCTAGCCTTATAATATAATTTAATTGGTCCGACTGGTCTTGTTTTGGTCCGACTGGTCTTAGTCCGAGTAGTCTTTGGTCCGAGTGGTCTGGATACCTACGACAATTGGCATTGAGTTTGAGCGTTCGCACACATAACTACCCGCATTCCTGTATTTAGTTACCGTCTTTTACATTCTAGTAAAATCTCTGCAAATTTTATAGCTTTACTTTTTGAAATATTTTGTTCTAATTATTTGATTAGCGACTCGGATGGGATTATTTACTTTTGAACACGCATGCCGCACAAACACAACTATACATTCGTTTTACGGGCTTTATCACACTTCGGTCAAAACTGTCGAATCGAGAATTAATGTTCCGCTTCTTACCGGGTCATACGGGCTTAGTAGCATTATATACCCACCCAGGCACCCAATAGACACGCTGAGGGCTGCCGCAACACGCTTAAAGATGTTACCGAAAGAATGCGTATAAAATTAAAAATACATTCAGAGAATTCGGAGGTAAGCTTCATGATCCTTGTTAAATTATTTATAACATAAAGAAGATAGGATATTTATAGTTTATACATGACTTTATTTTTACGAGTATCCGTCCAATCAGTGATATTTTAATTGTGAAGAAAATTTGATAGACTGGCGATCAATGGTTTCCATATAAATCTCCTATGTAATTGCCTTCAATTGATATTTTTCGTCGCCCAAACCCATATACGATCAAAATGATCGCGCTGTCAAACTATCTTTCAATGTTAACCAACCCCCGCAACAGGTATATTGGATTCGACCAATACTTCACGAAGACATTGTTGACATCGACTCTGTCGAAATTACAAGTAAATTTTCAAATTTTTCAAGAGAGAACTTGTTCTCATCGTTGTGATAATTAGTTGTGCAATGGATTTTATCGAACGGGAGTTCATTACAAACACACAGGTAAGTTTATAATAACCAAAGTTAAGTAGTTTGTTCATAATCGAAGAAATCCGTTTAAAATTTACGATGGTTCACACAGTAATGATTAATCCAAGCGGTGACTATTTGATGTTTCGTTTCGTCCTTAATTTGTTTAGATTTATTATTTTTGGGTACAGATGCTCCACAAGATGGTATGTTAAATATGTTTGACAGCGTCTCTTCCCACGTTGTTGGCATCTTGATTTCGTCCTCAGATATTAAATGATTCAATAGCGACTGTGCATTTAATTCCTTTGGTTGTTGGTTTGTTGTGATTGGGACTGTGTCGTCAATTTGAATAAAACCATTCATCATGGTTGACATCGCACTGTCGAAAGACAGGTTTACAATGGGGGGATCAGCTGTGTTTATGTTTGCCGAATTATTAATATTTGTTCTTGTTGATTCTGTTGTTTTTGTTGGTGTATCTGGTAATGGCTTGTTATATACCTCTGATGGCATATACAGCTTGTTGAACAAAATACTAGGATTGAACGGTGAAATGCCCGTGGACCGAAATGAGCTTAATATATTAGTTGGTGTCATGCTCTTATTCCAGGCAGCATTAATGATTCTCGGCCAAGTAGTTTTGTCTATTATATGAGTTGGATGGTCGGCCATGAATTCTGTACATAATCTATTATAACTATTTTGTAAAGGTCCAAATATGCCCTTGTCCAATGGCTGAAGGTGGTGAGTGGCATGTGGCAGTAGGGCAAGTATGTAGATATCATTTCCTCTGGCCTTTACTAGTAATTATGTCACTTCGTGGGAGCCATGTGAATCTAGAATTAATAATTAAGGCCGCTCTGGACCGCAGTGTTTAAGGAAGACATTACTGAACCACTACTGGCCTAGGATATCATTCATCCAGGCCCTCTCCTGGTACGTCCAAATAGTGCCATCAGGTGCGTCTAGGGTAGCAAACCCGTTCAAACATCTGTTTGTTTTGCCCTTTACAATGAACATAGGCGGCATACATGCATCTGTTGCGTTTATACAGGCTGAAACAGTGATGTTCTCCCTGTTGTTCGTGGTTCTCCCTGGTAAATTTTTTGTCCCCTTCCTGGCAATCACTTTGAGCGGGTCATGCTCATACGACATGCCCGTCTCATCACAATTCCATATTCTGCATGGATGTTCATTGAGGTCGATATCCTAAATTATTGTTCCAAGGTCTTGGAAATATTTATTAACTACTAGTAACTACTTTATTAAGCATTCTAGACCTAGATGTTGATAGCTTTTCTGGTTTCCGTAAAGTCACCTCTGTGAAGCGGCTTTTAAAACCCCTCCACCAGTCATTATCCGGAATACCTTTAGCAAATGGCGTTTTTGTATTTGTTTGTCGGACATACCGTGCAACTTTCAGCAGGAGTTGTTTTTTTGTCACTTGAAACCCTTTTCAGAAGCATCCATAACTATCTTTACTATTTCCTCTTCAATTTTCCGGGGGAGGGCAGTTGGTTTACCCGGCATGGCATTTGGGCAAATCCTGCCTAGCACATGATCAATTATTGTGGTTTTGGGGATGTTAAATTTTTTGCTTGCCTTTCGGTATGATAGGCCGTTTCTTACTGATGTTACGGCGTCTTCTAGAGTCTTTGAGTCGTATCACATATAGATATTTTTAGACTTGTGGGGCATCCTGAAATGTAAAACAAAGGTTTATTTATTATCTATTAACCTTTGCCTATATATAAATTTTACTAATAGCTTAGACATAAATTATTAATAAATGTCCTTAATTTTCTAATCCATTTAAGGATTATTTTCCTCAAGAGTAGAATGAATATTTTACATTTATTACGATTATTTCCCCAAAATTCATAAATTAATATTCAAAATACACTATAATTATAATGTAATATTTAAAATTTATTACTATTGTAATTATTAATTATCTATTATCAGAAGGCCGGTCGAATTTCCCCCACCCTCCAAAAGTAAGTTGGTCATAATTCGACCACTAGACCATTTTTTGTCATAAAACTGAATTCAAATGTTTTTTTTTGATTAAAAATTATTCGGGTTACATCCCACTTAAGAATCTAAACCATACAAATCAATAAAATGACCCTAATGTTTACCTGTTGATATATGATTGGTCGATGTACTTGATGGTGGGGTTTAAACAAACTTGACAGACACTGTGACAGAACGCGATGCTCCTTCACGATAGGCCAGACGTCAAACTTCGCGGTAAACAAAGATAGCGTTTTCTGATTGGATGCAAATATCACGTGACAAATAACGTGACCGGAACAATAACAAAGCGCATTATCCAGGCAGAAAAGCATATGTCGGTTGACATCAGTACAGACACGCTTTTTGTAAGCGGTCGAAATTAGACCATAGGTCGAAATTACACACATATACTCTAGGCTAATGTACATGTATGTGGCACTCTGATGATTACCCTTTGGCTTTGCTCCAATGTATGCCCCCCGCCCTCGACAAAATCCTGGATCCGGGCCTGACTAGGGTTAGGGTTAACCTTAACCCTAAACTTTGCCGATGGCGGGCTCTGAAAGCATCGTCGAAACAATAACCCGGTGACTGCCTATAGTATATTATATAATTAATTTGTAGCGTTTCCCTAGTCCTACTAGTACTAGACTAGAGTAGTAACTGTCACGGATCATCAAACCGGTAAATTAATACATGGGATATACTATACCTTGAGCTTTAGGTCGATAGCGAAGTCACTATCGTGGATCTAATATTTTTACTCTTTTGCAATAACACAAAAATGTAAAAGCAAAGAGTTAGATATTGCAAAATATGTTGAAATCTATCCGTTGTTTGTAAACAAGAACCACTTCCCGTAATTTTCGCGCCACGCATGCGTAGCCCTCTGCTAGAGGACTTCCGGATGCATTATTCTGTTGATATCTGGTGGCTTTTTCGTGGAAGAGCGTCGTAAAAGAATCCCTAAAATGGCTTTTAATTATGTTGTTACAGCTCACAAACCGACAGCAGTTAATGCATGTGTTACAGGTAAAACCGATTAAACCCCACTTCCTTTGCCAACATGTATCAACTGAACCGATTATGTAAAAAAAAAAAAAAAAGCAAAAAATGACCCCGAAACTCTAGACATGATAATATGATCTCACGCCCGCCCGGTATTTTAAATCTTATTTAATTAGTCGTATCGCCATCACTCGTCATCCCAAGAAAATTTAAAGTGGTACGGTAGTTTAAAGATGCCATCATGGACCGAGCGGAATCTCTCACCCGTATTCCAGCACCCGGATACGAAATGAAGTATGAAGTTAGCACACCCGGACCACTCGGACTAAAACGTAGACCACTCGGACCAATCAATTTATGTTAGAAGACCACTCGGACCAATATTTATGGGCGCTATTGCACTTTCGTACCTCTGTTAAGGATGTTAAGGGGGACTAGCAATGACCACACACCAAATTTCAGCCGAATCGATCAATAACTTTTTATTTTACCGACCTTTTAATTTCTAACGAGAGAGAACTTCATCTGTTTGACGCCATTTGCTTTGTTTACTATTTAGGCTCGAATAACAAGACACTAAGACGGAAACCGACACACTGCACTAGCTGCCTATCTCTGCAGTTCATAAAAATTAATATAATTTTCGTATACTTTAATTTTTGCACGAAGCCACCATGTTCTATAAAATACTATTTGGTGTTGATCAGTGGATTGGCCTTTAGGTGTGAATATTGCCGTGACCTTGATTTTGACCTTGAATCTTAACTTCCCATCCATATCATGGCCTTTGCATTTATGATTGCCGTGGCCTTATTTCTTACTGTATTTTCAAAGTTAATGTTCGAGGTGAAAGCAGAGACGACGTCCTTCAGAAAAGATAATTGGGTCAAAGTCGTAGGTCAAGGTCATAGTACAGAAAACTAAACTCAAACTTTTCAAAGTCATTTTTTGAACATTTGACCTTGACTTACGACCTTGACCCCGCAACCGTTTTCGAAGGCTATCACCTTGGCTTGATTCATGGACGTTTACCTTGGTTCTGTCACACACTGCTCGGTCAGAAAAGGGTCAAACGGAGAGGGGCCCGTGTCCGAAAGGAAGTCAATGGGCGTGGTCACCGTTAAACATCCGTGACCTTGACCCTGGCCTAGTGTCCGGACTTCCCATCCATCTCGGGCCCTTTGCGTTTATGCGTGCCGTGACCTTATTTCTTACTGTATTATCAAAATTAATGTTCGAGGTGAAAGCAGAGACGGCGTCATTCAGAAAAGATAATTGGGTCAAAGTCGTAGGTCAAGGTCATGTTACAGAAAACTAAACTCAAACTTTTCAAAGTCATTTTTGGGACAGGGCCAGGGTAAACGTCGATGGTTCAAGCCAAGATGATGGGCTTTGAAAATGGTTATGGGTCAAGCTCGTAAGTCAAGGTCAAATGTCCCAAAACTGACCTTGAAAAGTTTGAGTTCAGTTTTCTATAACATGACCTTGACCTACGACTTTGACCCAAGTATCTTTTCTGAGGGACGTTGTCTTTGCTTTCACCTCAAGCATTAACTTTGATAATACAGTAAGAAATAGGGCCACGGCAAGCATAAACGAAAAGGGCCCGAGATTGATGGGAAGTTTGGACTCAAGGTCGAAGTCAAGGTCACGGATGGTTAAAGGTGACTAGTGGAGGTCACCACGAACTTTCACATTGACCACGCCCTTTGACTTCCTTTCAGACACGGGCCCCTCTGCGTTTGACCGTTTTCTGACCGAGCAGTGTGCGACAGGGCCAGGGTAACCGTCGATGGTTCAAGCCAAGATTATGGGCTTTGAAAATGGTTGTGGGATCAAGGTCGTAAGTCAAGGTCAAATGTCCCAAAACTGACTTTGAAAAGTTTGAGTTCAGTTTTCTGTAACATGACCTTGACCTACGACTTTGACCCATTTATCTTTTCTGAAGGACGTTGTCTCTGCTTTCACCTCAAGCATTAACTTTGATAATACAGTAAGATTTAGGGTCACGGCAAGCATAAACGCAAAGGGTCGAGATGGATGGGACGTTTGGACTCAAGGTCAGAGTCAAGGTTACGGATGGTTAACGGTGACTAGTGGAGGTCACCACGACCTTTCATATTGACCACGCCCATTGACTTCCTTTCGGACACGGCCCCTCTGCGTTTGACCGTTTTCTGACCGAGCAGTGTGCGACAGGACCAAGGTAAACGCCCATGATTCAAGCCAAGTTGATAGCCTTCGAAAATGGTTACGGGGTCAAGGTTGTAAGTCAAGGTCAAATGTCCCAAAACTGACTTTGAAAAGTTTGAGTTTAGTTTTCTGTAACATGACCTTGACCTACGACTTTGACCTTTTTAACTTTTCTGAAGGACGTCTCTGCTTTCACCTCAAGCATTAACTTTGATAATACAGTAAGAAATAGGGTCACGGCAAGCATAAACGAAAAGGGCCCGAGATGGATGGGAAGTTTGGACTCAAGGTCAAAGTCAAGGTCACGGATGATTAAAGGTGACTAGTGGAGGTCACCACGACCTTTCACATTGACCACGCCCATTGACTTCCTTTCGGACACGGGCCCTTTGCGTTTGACCCTTTTCTGACCGAACAGTGTGCGACAGGACCAAAGTAAACGTCGATGGTTCAAGCCAATGTGATAGCCTTCGAAAATGGTTACGAGGTCAAGGTCGTAAGTCAAGGTCAAATGTCCCAAAACTGACTTTGAAAAGTCTGAGTTTAGTTTTCTGTAAGATGACCTTGACCTACGACTTTGACCAAAGTATCTTTTCTGGAGGACGTCGTCTCTGCTTTCACCTCAAACATTAACTTTGATAATACAGTTCGAAATAAGGCCACGGCAAGCATAAACGAAAAGGGCCCGAGATGGATGGGAAGTTTGGACTCAAGGTCGAAGTTGAGGTTACGGATGGTTAACAGTGACTAGTGGAGGTCACCACGACCTTTCACATTGACCACGCCCATTGACTTCCTTTCGGACACGGACCCTCTGCGTTTGACCGTTTTCTGACCGAGCAGTGTGCGACAGGACCAAGTTAAACGTTCATGATTCAAGCCAATGTGATAGCCTTCGTAAATGGTTACGGGGTCAAGGTTGTAAGTCAAGGTCAAATGTCCCAAAAATGACTTTGAAAAGTTTGAGTTTAGTTTACTGTAACATGACCTTGACCTACGACTTTGACCCAATTATCTTTTCTGAAGGACGTCATCTCTGCTTTCACCTCGAACATTAACTTTGATAATACAGTAAGAAATAAGGCCACGGCAAGCATAAACGCAAAGGCCCCGATATGGATGGGAAGTTTGGCCTCAAGGTCAAAATCAAGGTCACGGCAATATTTACACCTAAAGGCCAATCCACTGATCAACACCAAATAGTATTTTATAGAAAATGGTGGCTTCGCGCAAAAATTAAAGTATACAAAAATTATATTAATTTTTATGAACTGCAGTGTTAGGCAGCTAGTGCAGTGTGTCGGTTTCCGTCTAAGTGTCTTGTTATTCGAGTCGGTTTCCGTCTTAGTGTCTTGTTATTCAAGTCTAATTAGTAAACAAAGCAAATGGCATCAAACGGATGAAGTTCTCTCTCGTTAGAAATTAAAAGGTCGGTAAAATAAAAAGTTATTTATCGATTTGGCTGAAATTTGGTGTGTGGTCATCCTCTGAAAATTTCAAGTGCCTATGACCACGGGAACTGGTAGAGGTACGAAAGTGCAATAGCGCCTATTTATGTTGCCTCTCGGACCAAATAATTTATGTTGGTAGACCACTCGGACCAATCGTTTTATGTTGGAAGACCACTCGGACCAATCAATTTATGTTGCCTCTCGGGCCAACCCAAAGGATCGCCTCTCCATCCAATTTATGTTGCCTCTCGGACAAATCAATTTATGTTGGAAGACCACTTGGACCAATATTTATGTTGCCTCTCGGACCAATCAATTCATGTTGGAAGACCACTCGGACTAATACTTACTTGCCTCTCGGACCAATCAATTTATGTTGGAAGACCACTCAGACCAATATTTATGTTGCCTCTCGGGCCAACCCAAAGGATCACTTCTCGATCCAATTATTCACTTAAATAAAATACAGATTTTAAATTAAATAAATATTATTTATTAAAAAATAACAATACAAAGAAGCAAATAATTTATAGGTGAATCTATATACATAAATTTAGAAATGTCCTCCTTCCTTACATTTTTATTACATCAACAATTTATAAAATATTTTAAAATTGTTTGTGAACAGTCTACAGGTCACAATTTTTATCCGATTTCAATTAAACTTGAAATATAGGTTTATCACCCTAAGATCTCGGTTCCTTTCGATATTGGCATGTATCGGACTGTAACTTCATGGATTATGGCCCCTGATTGTACGAAAAATCACGTTTTTTGGCTTGTGAACACTGTAGAGGTCACAATTTTTATCCAATTTGGTTTAAACTTGAAATGTTTGCTTATAACCCATAGAACTCGGTTCCTTTCGATATTTGTGCATATCGTAACGTAACTTCCTGAATTATGGCTCCTGATTGTACGAAAAACCGTGTTTTTAGCTTGTGGACCCTATAGAGGTCATAATTTTTATCCGGTTTAAAAAAACGTATTATTATATCACTGTTACACCCTAAGGACGACTGAATTCAAATTTCGTGAAAATCAGCCCAATACTGACAAACAAAATGGCCGCCCTTCGTTCTCAAATAGCGTAAAAATATGGTATATCAAGGTTGTGGACCCTATAGAGGTCACAATTTTTATCGATTTTGATGAAACTTGAAATGTAAGTTTATAACCCAAAGATCTCAGTTCCTTTCGATATTCGTGCATATCGGACAGTAACTTCATGAATTATGGCCCCTGATTGTACGAAAAATCGCGTTTTTAGCTTGTGGACCCTATAGAGGTCATAATTTTTATTCGATTTAAAAAAAAATTTATTATATCACCGTTAAACCCTAAGGACAGCTGAGTTCAAATTTCGTGAAAATCGGCCCA